TTTTTGCACATCCCTTTTCTAGTAGTCTGCAACAAAACACTACTGTGTTTCCTGCCTTGTTGGTGCCAACTTTTCAGTTCTTTCTTGATTACCAATCTTGATTGAGATGGATTCGATTGTCACTGGGTCAAGCATTTTCACTGTATGATGTAGTCAGGTTTTCCTGCTGTGTGGAAGAAAGAAAATAATGTAACATCTTGACCTTTCCTTAGCTGTTTCTTAATAGAAACCAACACCTTCCCATTTCTTTATGCTTTCTTTCTGCTCCGAACCAACCCTGGATTTCACCACTAGCGTAGACTCGCCATGGGTCTACACCAGGTATGGGCAAACTTTCTAACTTGGGAGCTGCATGGCGGGCTGGAGAAGAGAGGGTTGAAGTGAGACCCCATCTTGCCTACTCCTGATATAGAATTCTAGAATCCTAGAGTTGGAAGAGACCCCCAAAGGCCATCCAGTCCAACCGCCTGCTGTAGCAGCAGATTGAGAGATAATACCAAGAGCGATCCTTTCTGGGAGACAGAAAAATACGTTTTTATTTTCAGCTGAGACTCTGGCGTGGAGTCTTTTCCGAAAGTGAACCAGAGCAAGGATAAAGGCATTGACTTTCCCTTTTATACATCTTCAAATGCAGGGAAACAAAGAAACATGCTTCTATGTACTTAACATCATCACTACGTCAATTTAGCATCATAGAAATATCAAATTCTATCTTCTAACATGCAAGAGGCATGTCTCTACATTTTTTTCTAAAGCAGCTTACATCCATCAGGGGCCTGCTTTTGACCTCTCAGGAGGGAGATTCCTTACTTTTTAGAAGTAAGAAGGTATGGCCTGTGCTAAGCTGCACCAGTCTCTGTAGAGCTCACATGCCCCCCTTCTCCTCCCCCTTTCAACACAGATCTCCTTCAGCATTCTTTCTGTCCTGTCAGCTTGGCTTCCTAATACAAAGAGAACCTGACTTTTCTTACATTTCAGTGCTTGTAATGTACATACAATATATGTATACATATCTATATTTCCAATATCTCCACATCGCTGCCATGCAGGAAGGCCCAATCAAAGCACTCCTAAGAGACAGCCTCTGTGGAAAATCCTCCAGAGGAGACTCCACCACTCTCTGAGGCAGTCTAGGCTACTCTCCAGGAAGTCCTTCCTAATCTTTTCAGTCAAATCTCTTTCCCTGCCATTTTTAAAATATATTTTTATTGATTTTT